GTCCACCACAAAGACTAAATCTCAGAACCTAAGTTCAAATCCCACCTTTGATACTTATTATCTGTGAGACTTTGGGCAACTCACTTTAATCTCCCTGGGCCTCAGTTTCATCATCTGGAAGAAATGAGAGAGTTGGACTATACGTATGACTCCTGGGGTCCCTTCCAGCTCTTTATGATCCTATGATCTAATTACAAATGGTGACTGATTTGTGGCAAAACTTATCTTCATTGATTCTATTCCTCCCAAACTTTCCCTTATCTCTTCACATCCCTAATGCTTCCTCTACTCCCTCTCAGGAGCTGTTCTTGCCTCCTATTTTACTGCAAAAATGGAGGTCATTTTCCATAAGCTCCCTGTTCTTTTCCCCACTCCATATGTCACAATTCCACTACCCTACCACTACCCATTCATTCCTACTTTGCTGCCTGGAAAGAAAAGGAGCCCCTCCTCCTCATCACTGCCAGCCTTTCTACCTTGATCCCATCTCCTCCAGGAGTTGCTTTCTCCTCTCTGAGCTCTCCCAATCAAAGGAATGGCTCTTGCCTAAAACATGCTCAGGTCTATTCCATCCGTTAAAAAAAAAACAAAACACAGAAAGACCCTTTATTTGATTCCACCCATGCTATATCCCTCTTTTCTTTTAGGCCAAACTCTTAGAAAGCCCCACTTGCTCTCGCCTTATCTTCTTCATCATCCATACTCCTCAATCCCTTGCAATCTCACTTATAGTTCTCAAATTCAACTGAAAATGTTTACTCTGAAGCTACCAACAATCCCTTAACTGCTAAATTGGATACCCCTTTCTCAGTCTTCATTCTCCTTGTCCTCTCTTGGCAACTTCTGAAACTCCTGATCATCCCCATCCCCTTCTTCTGGATGCTTTTTTATCTTGGTTTTTCTATGACACCACTCTCTTCCCACTTCTCCTCTTACCCATCTGACTTCTTCGGTAAATCATAATGGATCTTGTGCTGCCCCTTAGCACAGGTCTCCCCCAGAGCTCTGTCCTGAGCCCTCTTCTCTCTTATTCCTAAACAAGTTCTTTTGGAAACATCTTTAGCTCCCATGGGTTCAAGTCACCTCTAAACAAATGAACTCACAAATCCAAGTAACCAAACCTAATCTTGCTCCCAAACTCTAGTTATGTATTATAGCTGCTGGACATTTCTTCCTGGATGTGTTATCGCCAACTCAGATTTAATATGATCAAAATGAAACTCATAATTTATACCCCTTAAACCTGTGCTCTTCTATTGAGGGTATCATCACCTTCTCATCCTCCAGGTTGGTAACCTTTGAATCATTCTTGACTATTCTATCTCTCACACACACACTGTATTTCCAACTAGTTGCCAAGTTTTGTTGATCCTACCTACACAACACATTTATCCCACTTTCATCACTCCTATAGCATCACCCTATTTCAAGCCCTCATCACTTTAAGATCATAGATTTAAAACCAAAAGGGACTTATAGCCCATCCAATCCACGTCCCCCCCTTCTGCAGTTGAGGAAAATGAGACAGAGAGGTCAAGTGACAGGCCCAGGGTCATATCACTAGTAGTCACATCACTAAGTATTTATATTATTGAACCCAAGTCTCTATCCCTTTTGCTGTGCATGCCTCACCTGTTCTCCCTGTTTATAATCTCTTTTAATCCATCTTCCACACAGATGCCAGAATAAATATTCCTAAATTAGCATGTAACTAACTCACTCAGAAGTTGGTTCACTAGTGCCTATAGGCTAGAAAACAAAATCCATAACTTGGTATTTTAGGCCTTTCACAATCTGGTTCCCACCTACCTTTATAGCCTTATTTCATACTATTCCCTCATCTGAAATGCTATGTCCCACTCAATCTTTTCTACTGTCATTCCCTGAACTCTCTGTTTCAACCTCCTTCTTCTGTCCATTCAAAGAAGCCATTCTTTAGCTTGGAAAACACAACCTTTGCCAAGAAAACCCCAAATAGGGGCCTGAAGAGTCAATGATATAACAAGCTAAAGTAGAATTTGAACCTCTAAATCTAAGGTTCCTGCTGCTGTACCATATCTTCCCCTACAGGGTGAAGAGCTCATAGAAAAACAGCCATATACTCTATAAGAAACTTGGTTAAAAAAAAAAAAAAACAACACTATCCCTTCTTTACCTCTGCCTCTCAGTATTCCTTTTCTTCCTTTAAGACTCTCAGGTACTAACTTTCCTGTGAAGCCTGCCCAGATGAACCCAATAGTTAGAACTTTTGCTCTCTTCAATTTTTCTTGTTATTCTTGTGTACATGTTGTATTCTCTACATACATACCCCTCCATTAGAATGTAAGTTCCTTGAAGGGTAAGGGGCTATATTCGTTAACTGCCCAGCATACAGTGGGCACATAATTCATTGAATTAAAGAAGCCCACGGCAATGAAAAGTAAGGGAGATTTTCTAAATCTTAAGGCAAACACTTCAGTACTGAGCGAGGCTGAAAGTTCTTGCTTCATTAGAGTAATCAGGAAATAGTGTAGAAGACAGTGCTTTGAGCTGAGCTCTACAGCAAGTTAGGGATTCTAGTTAGTGGAGGAAAAGAGGGAGTGCATGCCAGGCATGGGGACAAAGCATAGAAACAAGAATGGCTTAATGAGCTTCAGTGACTCCAGGAACAAATATAAAATCCCCTGCTCTGGCATTCAAAGCTACCTTTGCAGTCTCTTTACTGCCTTACACACATTCTGCAAACCAGCAAAGTTTCTCACATGCAAAACTTATCTCTAATCCTAATAAAGCCTTTGTCCTCCAGACCTGAAATGCTACATCCTCTCATCTCCACCATTCAGGTTCCCTGGCTGAATTCCTTCAAGACTCACCTCAAATTGCACCTTGCAAAGGCCTTTACCCATCCTCCTGGATTACTTGTGCCTTCCCCTCTGAAATCTACAACAGTATGTATCTACTCTCTCTTTACCTCTTATCTCTATGTTAACATGTTGTTTCCCACACTAGAATGTATATTCCCGGACACAGTGTCTGGAACATAGTAAGCTTCCAATAAGCCCTTGTTGGCCAGTGGCTTGCCTGAGATAGAATGTCATGGTTGAGAAATAGGCCAGTTGGTTGGATCAGGGAATACCTAAGAGGGTCTTACTGTGTGATAGGCCTGGAAAGGAAGGCTGCTGCAAAATTGTGAAGAACTCTAAATGCAGAACAGAGGAGTCTGTCTTTTATGCTAGACCTAGAGGCAACAGAGAGCCACTGGAGCTTTTTGATAAGAGCAAAATTTTTGTATTATTTAAAAGTTATATTATATATTTGGGAAAGCTCTGGTGAAATGGAATGAATACTGTCCAATGCTTCTCAGTTCAAAGACCTAAAAATTATAAATATGATAGGATAGATAGATAGATAAATACAGGACTGAATTTGTGATTTCATTCCATTTGGAAACTGCTAGACAAGGAAAACTCCCTCTACCAGTTTAAATTATCACCTTCCCTACAACTTCCATTCTTAAGAGAGCTGCCTAGAACAAGAAGAGGTTAAGTGACTTGTCCAGAGTCACACACCAAAAAAATGTGTCAGGGATGGGACTTGAGATTTCAATGTGTGTATTTACACATAATCTGTATACGTAATGCATATACAAAGAAAGTATTGGATAATTTCGTGTATATATATATAACAGACACACAAATTATTCAATTTTTTAAAAAGCAGGCTCTAATTTTTAACTTTGTTTCTAGTTCTATACGCAAATTGGCCCATATTCTGGCAAGCAGAGCAGCACCTGAGCTGTCCTCATCCATCTGTCTTCCTCTCTCACACTCGCACACACGTTTTCCAAGGCAGCATCCCTGCCCTCACATGGGACTGCAGCAGCAGCCTGGGCCCCACAGGGGGAAATGCTTAACAGAGAAAAGTAAAGTATGGTGGTGCCTGGAAGGGAGAGAGGGAGGGAAGAAGGGAGGGCGCAAAGGGAGGCAAACAGTAAAGTACCTCAGCCAGGGTGGTAAGAAAGAACTCATGAACCAAGGGGGGGGGGGAGAAAAAAAGCTTCAATTTCAACTAGAGAGGGAGAGCGCGAAATTGAGGGCGGGAAAGAAAGCTTGCAGGCACCGGCCCTTCCCTACTCCATGTCTCGGGCTCCAGCCCCAGATGCTGGGCTGCAGGAACGGCACCGTCCAGCCTTCCATGTTAACTCTGCTGCTTCTGCAGCTAGCCCTGGGGAAGCGTTTCCTTCTCCCCAAGGGCTCGGGCCCAGCCTGACACGCACCAGAGTAGGTACATACGGGTCTGTCACACAAGAGGCGAGGAGGAGGAGGAGAAGAAGAAGGAGGAGGAGAAGGAGGAGGAGGAGGAGGAGGAGGAGGAGGAGAAGGAGGAGGAGGAGGAGGGCGCAGCTGATTTTTAAACATGGCTTTCCCCCTGTTCGAACCTGGGAGCCAACCCCGCGCCCAGAGCTGGCGGCTGGGGGCGCAGAGAAGCCAGCAAGAGATCGCACATCTGGAGGGACTTAATCCTTCCTTCCCTCCCGCCCCCCACATCTGGGTGTCGCTTTTTTTGTTTGTATCTGTTTCTCCCCTTGCCTTCTCCCTCCCCCCCCCCCCCCCCCCGCCCCAGCCATACCAACCACAAGCTGGTAGTTTGCAAAGGAGAGGAGTTGGGAAGGGGGAGAAGATGGTAAGAGATCTCCCCATAGGTTTAGGGTTGTCGGGGTGGGAAAAGAACCCAGGAGCCCTCCTCTCCCATGGTGCAGAGAAAGTGTCGATCCCACCGAGAAGAAGCAGGGAGGGGAAGGGACAGCTGGGAAAGAGTGGGGAGGGAGCAGGAGGATGGAGATCTGCAACAGGCAGAGGCACAAATGTGGACCCCACAATCCCGGACTGTTGTAGTCACGCGCGCTGGCGACAGCGCAATGTGTAACCACATAGCCATTTCTTTCAGCTCCGGGACTCGGGAGCCCATCGCCAAGCTCTAAAAACAGCCTTTGGAAATTATCCCGGGGCTGCAAGGCTTACCTTTCTCTTCGGCATGATGTCCCCTGTCTGGGCTGCAAAAAAAGTAAAGCAATGGAGCTAGAGGTGCTGCTGCGGCGGCGGCGGCGGCTGCTGCGGCTGCACAAGCGCAGGGCACTCACAGGCGGCGGCAACCAGCAACGGGGACTCTCGGGTGACCCACACCGACCGCCCGACCGCAGCTCCCCCCAGTCACTAGCACACCCTCACAACTAGCAACACCTCCAATAACGCTACAAGCCAGCAAGCCACTCGCTCCCATTGGCTACCGCCGCGTTCTAAATTCCAGGACGGGGAACGCCCACCTCCGCGGAGAGCTCCGAGCTGTTGTACTCTCTAGTCTAGGCGAAGGCTGGGGCCGTCTACTTGCTACCCAACGCCTGCCCTGGCTACAGAGCATGCCCGGTTCAACTTGTAGCCCCGTACGGAGCGAGGAGTTTCACTATGCGGATGCCAGCTTCCCTGGGCTTCAACAGCCTGGAGAGACTGTGGCCATGATGGGGAGGAGTAGAGAGCAAGTATGGAGACGGAGATTTTAGAATGTGAACATCTTTGAGGCAGGCAACAAGTCTCTACAGCCCCCATCCCCTGTAGGGAATTCGGCAACAATTATTAAGATCCTGCTACTTGCAAGATGCTCGATAGATCTGTGATGGAAACCTTGGTTCTAGTCTTCACTCTGCTATTGACAAGGTCTGTGACCTTGAAGAAGTCTCCCAGGATCAAGACCTGGAAGGGGGCCTGAGAGATAATTTAGAAACCAACCTGCTCAATTTACAAATAAACGGAACCAAAAAAAAAAAAAAAAAAAAAAAGACCACCACAGCAACAAAAAACAAAAACAAAACATTTTTTAAGAGTTTGTTATGTGCTGAGCATTGTGCTAAACACTGGGAATACAAATATAAGGAAAGTCTCTGCCATCTTAAACTTTACATTCTAACTGGTGAAGACTCCACATAAAGGAGAGTGGTGGCCAGGGCAGTGTTAATTTGATTACTGTTTTTAGAGCCAGAATTAGAAAGGAATGGGAGGTGGGAGTAGGAGGAGGGCAGAGAGAAAGGCACAACCTCATTGTCTTTGCACAATAATGCAGGAGGATGACTGAGGAGTAGTGCAGATCATTTGGGTTCAACTAGATATAGTAAATAACTCACCAATCCAAAGCCCAGGACCCTAAAGTAGGAGTTTGGAGTGGTTAACAAGTGGTTAAGTGACTTATCTAAGTGTAAAGAGAACTGAGATTTGTTCCCAGTTCTTCTAACTCCAAATCCAGGTCTCTTTCCATTGCACCATAGGGCCATGATGTATCTTTATGATTCTTGTCTAACTCCTGAAAGGAATGACTAGATAATCTCTCTGGTCCGTTACTGCTTTAAGATTGTAAGTGAGAATAAAATGGATCCATACTGCAATGACAGGCAGAATAAGGAAGAACAGGTGTTGGGAGGTGGCATAGAAGAGTGCTAAGGACCTTGACAAAGTTAACTTTTTGAAAAGGTGGGAAATTCCTCAATGTCTCCAACTTTTCAACCTCAATAGTTAGGAGCCTCCTTTTAAAAATCAAACTTAGGTATATATGAACTCTTAGTGAATAATCAATCAATGAATGTAGTGTTACAGAATCTGAGTTGGAAAGGATGTCAAGGGTCATCAAATAATCCAAGGCATACTTAAACAGGGATGCCTCCTTCACAAGACTAAGTTGTCCAGCTTGCCATGAAGGATAAATCTACTACTTCCCAAGGCAGCCCATTCTTCTTTGGAATAACTTTAGTTTTTAAGATTTCACTTAGATCAAACCTAAATTCACCTTTTTGCAGCTTCTCATCATAGTTGCTAGTTCTGCCCCCTGGTGCCAAGCAGAACAGACCTACTTTCCACATGACAGCCTTTCAAATACTTGAAGATAGCTCTCATACCCTCCTCATTTTCAGGGTAAACACCTCTGGTCCCTTCATTAGATCCTCATAAGACATGAACCCAAGGCTCTTTGCTGTTCTAGTTGCCCCTCCTTGCACATTCTCCAACAGATCAATGTTCTTCCTAAAATGTGGTACATCATGCCTGGCATATAAATGCTTGTTAACTGACTTATTGCTACTGATACTCATAACTCAACACAATACTCCAAATGCCATCTAACCAGAAGGAGCAATAGGCACTAAAGCTAAGTAAAATTTAAATCTTGTGAAGGGGACATTATCAATGTCAGCACACAATTTTCAGTGAGGCAACAAAGGCTCATAACAATGGTAATTTCGAGTTGTCAAATCAGCAAACTTTAAGTCCCTATTATTGTGCTAAGGCACTGTACTAAGCACTAGAAATACAAAGAAAAGCAAAAAGCAGACCCTGATCTTAAGGGGCTTATAGTCTAATGGATGCAACAACATATAAATAAGATATATTCAAGATATATTAGAGATAAACAACAGAAGGAAGCCACTAAGATTTAGGAGGACTGGGAAAGGCTTCTTTTCAGAAAGTGGGGTTTTGATTTCTTTCCTTGTCAAAAAGTTAAATTTATCCTGGGGGTTTTAACAATTTAAGGACCTAGTAGAAAGACGATGAACTCCTGGTAAGGTATGCCTGAGCACAAATACCGAACTCATGCACATAACCAAGACATGTTGTCTTAGAGGTGGTTCAGGGCTCCTTCTCACTTACTAATGGACTCAAACTCTGGATTCAGTTCTGAGGAAGCCTGGCCTCTTACTCATTGTATTTGGCTCTTTATAGCACCTTCCTGCCCATTCACTGGCTCCCCCCCAATCCAAATCCAAATCTTTTAGAAAGGTATAGGACAGCTGTTTATTGAAACCACACAAAATAAATGCTTAAAGCATTGTATTGACAAAGATGACATATGTATGTCATAGTCCTCGGAAAATAAGAAAATGTGGTTTCCTGAAAATATGACACATGTATTTTATATTAGTTATTTTCATGTTGTCTCATCAACTAGAATGTGAGTGCCTTGAGGGCAGGGATCATGCTTTTGTCATTCTTTGTATCTTCAATATTTAGCTCACTCCCTGTCACATTTTGTTATTCAGTCATTTCAGTGATGTTTGACTCTTTGTGACCCTATTTCAGGTTTTCTTGGCAAAGATGCTGAAGTTATTTGCCATTTCCTTCTCCAGCTCATTTTACAGATGAGGAAACTGAAGCAGATGGGGTTAAGTGACTTATCCAGGGTCACACAGCTACTAAGTGTCTGAAGCCAGATTTGAACTCAGGAAGATGAATCTTCCTGACTCCAGGTCTGGCACTCTATCCATTGAGCCACCTCGCTGCAAGTTGATTAATTGACCCTAATCCCAAACATCTACACTTTCCTGAGAAGTTGATATTTAAAAAAATCAAAATATGAAATATTTTGTGAGGTTGCTGAGCAACCATTTCATCTTCACCCTAGTTTTGTACTTTTTTGATAACTCCCTCAAAGTCCTTATGTTCTAGCAGTCCAGCACATGCTTGGACTCATTGCTCTGAAAGTGGTCATCTTTTGAGAAGCATTGTAGCACCTCATTCTTGCAGTCACACAGATTTTTCAGTGACTCCAGACTTCTCATGTCTGTGAGGGAGCTGCTAAGTCTAGAACAGCACATCTCAAGATTTCTGTTTAGTGATCTGTGCTCCAGGAAAGAAACACAAAGCAGGAGGGGCAGCCAGGGCTTTGATACCCAGTTTTAGGCTCACCTAGCCAACAAATGTGCTCAATGCCCTGTGTCAACAGTCAACATAGCTATGTTGCAGGCATAGGAGGGATGATGAATGGGAAGAGGAAGAAAAAAACCCCACCCACACTCTCCCAGATGAAATCCAGGGGGTACCAACACAATTGGCAGATGGGGAGAGAAAAATTTAAGGAGAGTTGAATCATTTTTTAAAAAGTCTACTGATTGGGCTGGTCTTCCTAGCTCAGCAGGCGTACTCCTCCTACCTTGTGGAGTAGGGGAGGAGATACATTAGGGCCAACTAAAAACCTCTGATTGGCATGTCCTTTATCAGGGTGAATAAAAAGTTGAAATAGAACCAGTAAAACCTGAGTTCAAAAGTGACCTCAGACATTTTCTAGCTGTGTGACCCTGGGCAAATCATTTGAATTCAGTCCACCTCAGTTTCCTCAACTGTAAAATGGGAATAATAATAACACCTACTTTGAAGTGAAGATAAAATGAAATAATATTTGTAAAGTACTTTGCAAACCTCAAAGGGCTTTATGAATGCTACCTGTTATTGTGATCAGGGAAAGGGCTGAGCACCAGAAATGCTCCATGGGGAGTTCTCTAGCCAGAGTAGAGGGGAGGGATGGGGGGTTCCTCTGATTACCCCAATTATATATAATTACCTCCAGTACTTCAGCTTAGGTGGAGCTGATCTTGTTTATTCATTTGTTTGTTCATCTTGAAAGAGCTATATGAATGCAGTGCAGGTGGGTTCTACCAAGATAGAAAGACTGAAAGTATAAACCCCTTTATAAACTGCCTTACCTACTTTCCAAGGACTAGCCCAGCTAAGCTCAGAGAGGCTTAACAGGGTGCTGAATTATTTTTAGCTAGAGAAATGATCAAAGACTATCTACTAAATTATAACGGGTGGAGGAAGAGGTTGTAATGTATATTAGTGGAGAGAAGCACCTACATCAACAAAATTACAGATCCTTGAAATTATGGAAGTATATAATTATGTGTAATTATATAATTAATAATTACATGTCACAATTTCATACTATATTATATTATTAACAATATAATGCTACCTCATGTTTATATAGTGCTTTAAGGTTAAACAAAGTGCCTTGTTCCCAACAATTCTATTAGGTAAGTAATACAAGTATTATGAGATAGGTTGGTTTTCGTACCACACACATTCATCAAAACCCAAAGTAGAAGCCTTTCTCAGCTGTTAGGATGTGCCAGAACTTGTAGGCCACTTGGATAGCTTTAGAAAACACAAAGTTTCCTCCACACCATGATAATAAAATGGCATGGGACTTTTATAGAGGGCTATGTCCTATGCCTAGCTTGAAATGGAGATAGTCATCTAAATTCAAGGAGCTTCCATTATGCATAAAAAATAGATACATAAATAAGCATGAGAGGCTTTT